TCTTAGGCCTTATATGCTGTACACACTTAATTTACTTAAATTACATCTTTTGCACAGTTTGTCTCACGTTGCTCTTTTGTCAGATGCAATACAAATTCTTTGACAGGTTTGTAAAAGTAACCCCCCCCCCCTTTAAAAAAAATGATTCTGTATAGTGGAAAATAACTTGCACTTCACACTCTCAAAAGTCACAAGTTCAAGAAATTCTGACTAAAATATAAGACATACCGTATATACTCGCCTATAAGTCGGTTTTTTGGGAGTTAACTTTTGGTCCAAAACTCTATGTCCGACTTATAGGCAAGTCATCGAAAGCTTGGTGTTTTTCTGGACGACGAAATGTAGTATTTTTTTATACATAACTTCGACGATTATCGTTGAGAAATGTCTGGACGTATTATATTATTTATGTATTCTAAGATTATATATAAAGTAAAAGTATTTACACGTTTTAATGATTTTATTTTGATCTTAAGTGTTTATTATTTATTTGATTAATTATTAACAAAAATATTTCTTTAATTTTAACTTGTGACTTACTGTAAATCTATCGTTTATCGGTAAAATGGAATTGCGAACCCGATATAATACGTTTAGCATTAATGTATAATTATATGTACCGTCTGCAATGTTTTTGACAACAGATATGATATTCTTAAAAAAATAATTCAGAATATTATTCTGGAGTCTATTAAAACTCGATTGTTTATGAAAATGCTTCCCATGTGTGGTACACAATTTTCTTGGGGCGCGTGCCACTAAATAAACGTGGTGTCAGGTAAGGGATACAGGTGATTAAGAGACGATAATTGCTAATAAAAGATCAAACATAGCGTTATTAAGAACTATAGATATGGCTTGGGCATTGAGCACCTCCTAATTAAATATCATCAAAATGTTGGTAGACTCGTTACATAGTTCATCACCATGCCAAAGAAACAGAGATATGCCAATGATCGAGATCGATGTATAAATTATACAAGACAAGGGATTTAACGCTTAAACAAAACAGTATAGAAAGAAACTAAAATGGTAGTGGTTTGGTTTGTTGAAAAATAAAAATATTAATTACCAATGTCATATCCTAACATATTATTTGAACCCAGGTAAATACATTAGAATATTGATATGAAATTTATAAGAGAAGAAAAAAGAGAGATAAAATATCGGCGTAATTTCTCAAAATATTATTTGAAACACGTTAAAACATTAGAGCATTGATTTGAAATTGTCCACCGATCCTGGCAAAAAGTTGTATCGACTTATAGGCGGGTCAATGGCAAATCCCTCCAAAATAACCTCAAAAATCACAACCGACTTATAGGCGGACCGACTTATAGGCGAGTATATACGGTTATTAATATTTATGCAAATTCAAAATTTCTGCAATTAGGTTCCAGGGAGAAAAAAACCACTTAATCATACACTAGTTGGCCAATTTTAACTCTTACATTTAGTGTTGTTTATATTACCTTCTTCTCTATCTAACTGATGAAAATTGACAAAATATACTGCAACATTTGAAGTGCACCTACATACATTATCATTATGAAAAACAAGAATGTTTAAGAATTAGTTGTCTCTGCAGCCAGAGTAAGCATAAATAAATTTGACATTGTTGAGCTGGTGACCATCAAAGGACCCCATATTTAGCAAAGAACATATATGTATATATATAAGACCCATATCCAAGGGCACTCTTTGTGTGAAGTTTTAAGTCAGATGGGGTCAATGGGAAAAGAAACAAATTTGCTCCAGAAACAAATTTTACAGGGATTTGCTATAATCTTGGCCTCTGTTTTAAAAACCTGAGTAAAGAACACTGCACATCCTGTACCCATGGGCACTATTATGTGTAAAGTTTGAGCCAGATAGGGCCATTAGGGGAGTACAAAAATATGCTCTGAACAAGGATTAACAACAAAGATGTTTTCTGACCTTGGCCAATTCTGACCTTGACCTTTCATCTAAAAAATTGGTTCACCCTCTACCCACAGGCACTCTATTGGTGAAATATTAGCCCAACTGGGCAAAGGGAAGATAAAGTATACTCTGGACAAGTATTTTACAAGAGAGGGTATTCAACTTTGACCTTTAATCAAGAAAATTGGTTCAAGGTCACTGCACATCCTCTATCCATGGGCACTGTATGGGTGAAGTTTGAGCCCTTTTGAGAGAAATTATATGCTCTGGACAAAAGGAAGCAGACAGAGACTGACCACTATAGGGCAACTGCAGAGCAGGTCCTTAAGGCCTGAGTTTTTTTATTTTCTGTTTAACGGGAAGCGCCGACCCAATTTTTTCAAAATACCGAAAAAAAATAAAAGAGGTCAATATCACTTTTATTTTTAAAATACCCGCCGACTGTGTCATTTATTGATGGTTTGAAATAAAATCGGGTTTGTTGTACACCATATTTTAATAAATCATGTAAACGTTTGACATAGCTTGTGTTAATCAAATTCTTGTACTAGCGTCTTGCTGATTATGATATCATAACCAGTTTAAAGAACTAGTTTAACGCACTTTTCGCGGGTTCTATCAACAGATCAACAAGCAAAAATGCCATTTCAAGACATTTATAGATAAAAATGATGAGATTGTAATATTAAATCCATTGACGATAAAGAGAAAAAAGATCCTGAAATCGGAATGAAGGCATCAACAACCTAAATACACTAGATGCACACTGAACCATGTGAACTGTTGAACTTGTGTCTAAAGAGTTGGGGGTAAGTTTTTTGACGTCTTAATAAACTTTCTGTTACAATTGTTCGATGGTTAACATTTTTTGATACGTTTTTTGTTTCTTTTAAAGATGTTTACATTGTATATTTAATTTGATCACATAACAAATTGAGGTAAAATTCGCGGTAAAATTTAATTTTACAATGAATTATGTTTAACTCTATCTGAGGGACATAAAATTACGATTAAAATATTTTAGATACAAGTCCATGTCTGCTTGGTTGAATTAAATGAGATCAGGATTCCAACAAAATTACGATTGGAAAAGAATATTTAAAACTAACACTGACAAGTGACAGCTAATTGGAGTTGCACACATTACCCTGTGGAAAGGTAGAGATAGAAAGAATAAAGTCAACTAAATGTCCAATTTAATATTTTAAATGCAAATTGAACAAAGAACAAAATTATTATATTTATAATATAAGAAATGTGTTATTATCACAAACTCTTAAAAATGTTTTGTATCTTCATTAAGGAAAGAAAATAATCTCATATAAATACTGTTTTTTATCTTCTACTTTCTAACTACTACTTGTATTTGGTTATATTAATAAAGTATCTTAAAGGAACAATGCATTTTTTGTGCAGTTTGATTTCTTGGTGAAGACCCAACCATTTGTGAAGAGTTCAGAAGACTTCCAAGATGACTGCTGTTGTTCGTCAAATAATTTCAGCTGACAAATTTCCATTCTGAACCTCAAGAATGTGTTAGTCCTATACTAGGAATGCATTGTCAAGTTAGCTATCAACCCCATATTTTTCTCCAAACTTCTGTTTAATCAAAATATATGTAGCTTAAAACATTTCTTATCATTACTTTTATAAATTTTATACAGTAGGAGATGACCAAAAGAAGACATCTATAAATTTTTAAGCAGTGTGGATTTTTCTGTTATCCGTGTATCCAACATTATTGTTGCTATATAATAATTTGACACATGCATATAGTTAGGAGGTGTATCTTTTTATCCATATTTGAAATCCAAATAAATGATAAACAAAATTTTATTGTGTTTTCTTTCATTTTTCAACATTCTATAAAAAAAAAAATTCATACCATTTTTGGGTTTTATTTTTTTTTATGGTCTCGACTCGACAAATTTTGAACTTTTTATTTTTATTTTATTTCGTCCCCTCGACCCGACTTTTTCTTAAAAATTCCCGTTAAACAGAAAATAAAAAAACTCTGGCCTAATTAATACATCATCAACAACAACTGCCTAATGTAACAAAAGCCTAAAAAAAGCTAATAGGATACATTTATTCCCAGCAGAATTCAATTATTTAGTGCCTGATCAATAAAAAAAAAATTTCATGAACATTTTATATGCATTGATCATTCATATCAAATTTAAATCTTTGTCTGAAATTACATAATTAGAGTGAACATATTTTGAAGAACTTTCTTTATAAATCTGGAGTAATTAGTGTCATATCAATAAACTGCTCAATAATATATTATTTATCTCAATCATGCATCCCTGCTTAATTGATGTTTGAAGAGCTTAATTAGTTGCTTTTAGTGTTAATGAAATACTTGTGATTAAGCTTGCTTAATTACTTTACAAATTAATAAACTAATACAAATTGTAATTCACAATACCACTGTGCAATGTAAGTTGATCAATTACTGGCACTGGAGATGCAAATTACACGTCAAGCATCTGCATATGGTAAAAATAGGTTAAGATTAATGGCAATTCCATAAACAATAATGAAAGAAGCTTCTTTTGAAGTTGGAATAAATGTTCACCATTATCAGTAAATCATAGATGCCTTCACTCCTGAGAGTTGATCTGGGTGTGAGGTATTTGTGATATACTTAAGTACTACAAGTGCCAGCACAAAGGGACAATCTGTCACCTAAAGGACTTGGAATCAAAAACAGATACCAGTAACCCAAGATTCTGAATTGTCTATATAATCTCTGTTCATTTACCCAGACGAGTGATAAATCCTGTGCATGTACATGACTGGGTAAAATATGGTTCTGAAAGCAAAGGCAATTCTGCTCTTTCACCAGAGCTACTTTCATCTCAATGAATGTTTTTTTTTTTTTGAAACTACAGATGAGAGCCTTAAAGAACTGCATGGTTTTGCTCAAAGTTAATGTTATTTAATAAATTTCCAATATAAAACCTGGAACCCAGGCAACCAAGGCCAGAAATTTTTTTTAAACCCTGCCTCATGCAGGTGTTTGGTGACTGTTTATAAAACCTTGCCATGTTCCTATGAATACCATGGTATACCTCTTTTCTGATCCTGGCTTCTGCTTCATCTGCTTCATATGAGGATCTGCCCAGGTTGACTAGTTCCTTTAAGCTTTCTTTTTCTCTGATGGAGTAAGGTAGCATATCAGACGCACTCTCCACAAACAATACGGGCTCCTCTCTCAAATTAAACAGTAAAACCTCCTGAAATTTAAAATACACTGTAAAAGAACTCGTGCAATTTCATTATCTAAGGAATATTTAAGGTTCCTCTCTGGGGAACAATTAAGGTTCCTCTCTGGGGAATATTTTTAAGGTTCCTCTCTGAGGAATATTTAATGTTCCTCTATAGGGAATATTTTTAAGGTTCCTCTCTGAGGAATATTTAATGTCCCTCTATAGGGAATATTAAAGGTTCCTCTCTAAGGAATATTTAAGGTATCTGGAGAATATTGAAGGTTCCTGGTCTCCCTGTTCACTCATGAAAAAAAAAATTGCTCATGAAAAGAAAATTTGCTGTAATGTTAACAATTTTCCAAAAGAGATCTAATTTATATTTATTGAAATACAGTTAAAAAAAAAAGTTAAGTAAACTTGCAGGCCAAAATTGGACATCAATGGCCTTTTAACCTGAACAATTTTTATTAAGGAATAATAGTTATTTATCCAAATGAGAATTATCTCCCTTATCAAAGAGTAAATGAACATAAAAATAGAGGAGAATTGTGCTTTCATAAATCTTCTGTCAAGACATAGCCTTATTATTATTATATTATATCATATGTGTACATTTTGTATCATTTACATGATTTCAATACTTCGTACACTCATGGGCTGTTGGGCTGTCATTGTCAAGACAACAATTTTATTTTCTTATTAAAAGTGATGTGTTGACCTCTTAACCTTAATCAATTACCTCATTTGAAATACACCAAAAAGGTCATTTGCAAAGTACTGTTGAACCTTGATATCTCCAACATGAAAGGCTTTCAAAAACCTGAGATATCAGTGTGTTCACGATACAAATATAATCTTACTGAATGAATAAAGACAAGAGCCACTTGGACAGATTACTGGAATTCATTTCAAGCTAATGAAGTTCATGATACACATAAAGTTACTCCAAGTATGAGAACACATCATCTCTTTTTAAAATAGTTTGATTTTACACCAAGGACTCCACTAATAACTGTGTGATTTTATATTAACAATGTAGTCATAATTAACAGGAATAGCTCTGTTTAATACAGGGTGTTTCATAATATATGTTACATTTTGAATCTTTAATTTGACAAACACAAGAAAAAGATTCAGACAAGTGTTTTTATCAATTTGATGCATGTATCCATAAGATTCATTATGTATAATTACCAACCAAAATATTATGCATTTATTGTCTTCTCCTTATAAAAATGTGTTTGGCATGCTCTTCAAGAGAAAAGTGAATTAATTTCCTCCAGAAACAGCTCAGTTAGATATGGACCTGTACAAAAAATGAAAATTTTGTGCCTAGACAGAATTTAAAGAAATAAAATTCAGTGCTTCTGGGTGTCTAGCTCTAGTAAGCTGAAATAACTTCAATGGCTTCAGCTACATGCTATAACCTAAAGCAATTCAGAAAGCATATTCCAATTATACAAGATTTTTTGTTGGGTAAGCTTCATTATAAACGAATGATCAGCTCTATTGATCATTAAGTTTGATGATAAACTGAACAATACCACTTGATATCATCTCTCCTAAAGGCCTATGAAACCATACTTTATTCCATGAATACAATATTCCTCCTAATAAGCACCTTGGGCATATAGAGAAAACAGCTTGACTACCAATAAAACATATTAGCTATGAAGTGATGAGAGAGAAGTCATGTAATATTGCTGCATCAATCAAAATTCACTTACTGGTATTAACTAAAAGTTAAACAGAATTTTTTTTACCTGTATGGCCATGGAATTGCTGCTTGGGGGATTTCAGACCCAGGAGGGAGGGAGAAAATTTATCCCCCCCCCCTGCCCCAAATTTAAGTTAATTAAAAATTGGTGATAAAATATCAACAAGAGGCTAACTGGACACAATGCTCACTTGAGTCACTATAGCCCCTCTGTTCCTCATTCCTATCTAAAATTTTGAATGCCCACTGTGGCCCCACCCTATAACGAGAGGTTATGATTTGAATCTACACTACCTGAAGATGCTTCCATATAAATATGACAAATCATGGCTTTGCTGTTCTTGAGAAAATTTTTCCTATATATTCCTATGTAACACTTTGATCTTCGATTGTGACCCCACCCTACAACCAGGAGACATGACTTGAACAAACTTGAATCTACACTACCTGAGGATGCTTCCAAATAAATAAAACTATTAATGACTTAGCTGTTCTTGGGAAGATTTTTCCTATGTATTTCTAATTGGCCATTGTGGCCCCATCCTTCCCCCAGGGGTCATGATTGAACAAAATTGAAAATACACTACCTGAAGATGCTTAAATATGAATATGACTTATAATGACTTTGATGTTCTTAAAGAAGATTTTTAAAGATTTTCCTATATATTCCTATGTAAAACTTTGATCCTCAATTGTCGCCACACCCTGTCCCCAAGGATCATGATTTGAACAAACTTAAATCTACACACTATGTCAGGAAGCTTATTCACGTGTTTAATTTTTTCTGGTGGTTTTTGAGAATTTTTTTTATATAACCCCAAGCAATTTTCACTTTTTCTTAATGAATTCCCCTTGAAGAGGATGTGGCCATTCATTTGAAAAGAACTTGAATCTCCTTCACTCAAAAATACTCTTTGCCAAGTTTGGTTGAAATTAGCTCAGTGGTTCTGGAGAAGAAGATGAAAATGTGAAACGTTTGCAATAACAACAATGGACAAATTTTGATCAAGAAAACTCACTTGAGCCTTTGGCTCAGGTAAGCTAATAAACAGTGAACACATTATTTTCTTACTTTTTGCAAAAAGTATTTCCCATCTGATCAAGCCAGGAACCCTGTTATTGCTCTAAGATTTGATGTTAATTAAGTGTTTCAGTAGTGCATACAAGCCAGGAAATGATTAAATAAAAAAAAATCTTATTTTGGGGTAATAACTTTTTTTAGGAGGTTATTTCAATTAGATTGGAGGCTATTCCAAACAAACAATAATTTTAATTTCATTCAAGTAATGGGCAAAATATTACAAGGCTTGATCAAACTGCTGCAGATATTACTTAGATAAACGTACATTCATGAAAAAACAATTGCACAATTCCAAAGACTACAAAAGATCTTTTCCAAGAAAGCACCATCAATGTCAACACAGCATCAAAGGTTCTTTGCCTGGTTGAGGGTTTATTAAACTAAGTGAGGCAGCTAGAGCAAAAATTATTTCTTTTTACTTGGCCCTGGAGTCAAACTAACTCAAATCTTTCAGCCACTATCTGAAAGAGATTCAATATTGCTAAAATGAGTACACTCTGTCTCTACCATTAACTTGGATTTTATTTGTAAGAATATCTTCCACAATAGCATATTCAAACATGAAAAACAAAACTTGGTAAATATAATATAACTAGGACAATCTCTTATCCCTGACACTAAATATAATGATCTAGCCTTGCATGGTGTACCAGTTTTATTGAAAAACCACAAATCTCTGACAAAAATGTAACTCTACTGGTTTGTCCTTACAAAAGGGGAAGGAAAAAATTGCACCAAGAATTGAAACACTTGTTTTAAATTAATTTTAACATTTATCAATTACATGTATAACACGACATAATTGCACAACAGATGTAAATTATATCTACAGTTTACTAATTTGCAACAGTGTTTTCCCAAAGAACCAGCTACCAGCCAAATTGATTGCTTCAATTGATAAAAATGCTTAGAAATCAAAAATTTTAAAAAATTAATTGTTGTAAGGTCCATACAGATTTTGTTCATAAAGCTCTTTTTCCGTATGAACAAGAGTCAAACCCCGCTCCACACAACACAGAGTGATAATTTGGTGCGCCGCATTATTGCTCGACGTCGTCATTTTTGGCAATATCTAAATACATGTAATATTTTTTGTGTATATAACATCATATTTTTGTTATTTATGATGTCAGAGTATTGATTTTTTACACATGAGTACTTTATATCATAAAAATTTTAATGATATAATTTTTGTCACATTATTTTTCTGTAGAGTCTGGTGATAAAGAAAACATCGCTGTCAATGCTATTTTTGAAAGTCAAGAAATTGCTGTGTGCCGACCATCAATACTTAACACTCTTTAAATGTTGTTTATAAATGCAAATGGCATTGGAACCTTAGATCATATAGTCAATATGTCAAAAATATCATTTTCCAACATTATGCCAAAAATGAATAATTTTGGTCACATACAGTTTATGAAATATTTAAAAAGTTTGCGTTTCTCTGGGACAACCCTCGTATATATATATATATATATATATATATATATATATATATATATATATATATATATATATATATATATATATTACTTACTGTGTGACCTTCATCCACTAGATGGTCTATAAGATAAATAAGTCCTTTTTCCGTTGGTTGGCCTGCACCGTAAACAGGCAATCCTTTTGAAGCCTGGTGAAAATTGGGAGCTTTATATTGGGCATAAGTTTTCTTGATGTCAGATTTATCTGAAGCATCACGAACCAAGAAGTACTTTCCCTGATGAAAAAGAAAAACAGGATTTCATTTAAAAATACATTTTGTGGAAAAATAGTAACATTTAAATATCTATTCACAATTTTCATTATATTTATTGCACTTTTAAGCATAATTTGTAATATATTACATCAGTCTACATGTTTTGATTTAAAAATGTCTAAAATTATCAAATATTACTTTTTTTTTTATATAGAGCTATATTATTTGTTTTACTTCTTGAATGACATTTGTTATGTACAAAAATAAAAAATACTAAATTTAATTGTCATTTCTTATGGAATTTCTCTCCAAGTTAAATGACAATGACCTGCAGACACTTAATTTTAATTTCCAACTGAGAAATCTATGATCCACAGACTGCACTGAAGATGATACATTACCTACCAATTTTACTTCGCTCTCGACTCCTCTCTACTAATCATTATTGATGTGGGGCTTGTCGTGATCCTTGATGATACTGATTTTGAGGGTAATTCAATATGTCTGAAGAAAGTCTACTGAAGAAAGTCTACTGAACCCATCTTTAACTGTCTACCTTTCAAATGTCTTTGCGTAACAACTTAAAGAACAACTCTATAATCAACTGGTTATATTTGAATATCTAATAAAACTACTAAAAGAACAAACCTATTAGTTAAATTAAACTCTTTAAATTTCAAATGTCTAATAGAGTAATTTTAAGAACTTCTAACAAGAAGTCAGAATAAATGCATGGTGCTTCAGCTTTATAATATTACAACTAGGTGCCTCATAACATGCTATTCAGTAGATATCAATAGATATAGGCACATTATAATTGGAATTTTCAACAGTCAGTGGTTAAAAGCAGTTTTCTAAGAAATTGCAGGAACCTGACTTCAAGCCACTGTCCCCAATAGTCAGGATCAATGAAAATATAGTGCTTTATCAGAGAGAAAAAGAGATTGTCATATAATTTATGTTTAACATTGAACTCTGATAGTTTATGGGGAAAAGAGGTGTACAAATTATCAAATAACTTCTAAAAAATTTATTCACACCAGATATAATTTGTTCAAATATTCAAATATGATGTTGCAAGTATTGGAGAGGTCTATGAGATTTAGGGTTATATATGTATCTCAATCAAAAAAAGTAGTTTTACTTCAAGAACATTTTTTTTCCCTATGGTCTAGTCAACTTGTCTTGGGGAATTAAGGGGATCCAAAGACATTTTCAGAGAGTGGGGATCCGAAATCATTTTCACACAGTTTACTTCATAAAATTACTGAAATTGAAAATTATTGTGGGTGGGTGGGGGTGTCCCCCTCCCCATCCCATTCCCAACTAGATCCTCTTTTAAGTAAAGGTTATAGGCCAAAAACTGTCCATTCTGTGAGGAGAAAGAACTGTTGGAGGGTGTTAGGCCCAACAATAGTTCTTTCTTCTCACAGAATGGACAGTTTGAGGCCTATAACCTACTTGAAACATTTACTCTATTGTGTTCATAATGTACTCTCTTAGAATTGTTTCTCATCCATTGTATTACGTAAGCATTGTCTACTTATTGGACTGTCTCAGGTAAAGGTTGCTCACAATCAAAAGAAACTTACATTCATTGTAATTGTTAACTTAGTGGACAGTTACAGGTAAGTGCTAATTTTACAAAAACGAATTAAGAATATTTAACCACAATGTCATGATATTCCAAAATCATTTTCTTGTGATTGTCAGTGTTGGAAGCACGTCTTCTTCCGAGGGAGAAAGCATATTTCTGATGCAAATCAAATTGAGATATGATGAACAATCTACTTATAATACAGATGTCATTTTTCAGGTGATTTTTGAATTTTGAGTTAGGATTGTCAAGATAATGTACTTTGAACGCAAAGTGGATGTTTTGTTCAAATATTTCTCAACCTTTGGCCAAGGCTATTCAAGGATACAGCAGAAACAAAAGGAACTTAGAGATTTCCACAATTAAATCAACAATATTTAGATGATTTAGAAAAGGCTTTTCACAGAAAAATGTAAATGGGCAGTGACTGTGTTCTTTAACTGTCAGGGAGAATGTTGAACAGTACCCAACGTTGATGTTTTCATGCTTAAGGATGTTGAGTGATAAAGAATTCAAATCAACAAAATTATTATTTTTTTAAGGCTGAAGTCAGAAACGAATTGGAAAAAGACTTATGACCAAATACCCTTGCGTTCCTATAACAGAGGAAAATATGTGCTCCTGTAGAAAGTGAGCAAAATTATTCGGAGTTCTAGTGAGAAAGAAGTAGCGATTGATACTTGCCAGTAAGGCACTGAAAAAGGAGAAGTGATATTCCCGCGTGTGTTGTTGGTGCAAGTTACATAGAATTCGGAGATATTTCCTTCAAATTTAAGTTTTGACATTCATTGTGATTTGGATATACATTTCATTATTTCAATTTTTGTTTCTGTGACTTGCAATATACATTTCATTACATTGTGAAACATTTTGGATTCATTACTTCAAATATTTATTTGTGTCTTTGTTGTGTTTTCTTAGTCCGTTAACTTACCTGTAGACGTCCAATAAGTTATTAAATACTGTCCATTATTTTTTATTAATGGACATATTTTTTAACCTATTGGACGGTTACAGGTAACTTATTGGACTGTCTTGGGTCTTTCAAGGAATAGAAAGTATTAAAAGAACAAAGGATGATGTCATACTTATGTTTTAAAGGATGATAATAAACTTCAGAGCAATCTTCTTTACAGTTTGTTTCTGAATTTTCCTCATAAAAGTTACTATCCTTATGGTGGGTGTTCATTCATTTATCAGTTTTAAAACTTATAATCTTTTAAGTTAATTGTTTCTTAAAACTCGAAGTTCAACAAAAGACATGTTTGCTTTTGTTGCCATTGACTGAATGCAAGCAATGTTCTTGGGAAAAAAATTAAACATATTTCAATATAATATATCTATATGTGCTTCAGGCTTCTTCAAATGAGTATGGTCAATTTTTTTAAATTTTCAGACCACAAGAATCTGTCAACAGAAGGCTTATTTTCTTTTTCTTTTCTCCCCAATAAAAATCTCACAGTGAACCATACATATTTAATTGGCACTTATAAGGAACTTGGCATAAGGTTTGGTTTGGCATTGCCTTATAAGGGATTATCCAATACAGCAGACCTTATATCAGTTCTGTAAAATATACAAACACAGAAGTCACTTACAGACCCAATAAACCAGCCCTCCTATGACCATATGGTGAAGGACCCTATATATCAAACAGATAAACGCCTTTAGGTCTTTGGAGAGCCAAAGGAAAAGTGTCAGGAGCATTGATCTCCTACAATTGGATCAAGCTTCCATCTCGTTTATGGTATATCCGAACTTGATCAGCCATACACAGCATTAGTGTCAAGCTTAAATTCAAAGCAATTTTCCCCCCAAAGTTCAAATCCCCTCCTTCCCGAGAGATTTCTACAATCCAATATCTTGGAATTATCCCGCAACAATTTAAGCTAATTTTCCAAGATATATATGTTTGATTTAACTCAATTGACAGGTTTATAGTTGTTTTTATCAAGAGCGATATCAAAAATCAAAACATAATTCAATTTGAATCTCATGTTTACACATAATATGGTAGAACTGCAGGAAAATGGGGAGAATTAATAAAAACCTATACCTCTTAGTCTTTGTCATTATCTAGATAAACACTTTGCTTATTCTTCCAATTCAGATTTATGTATTCATGTGTATAATGGACATTTCTACATCTCTAGTCATTAATAAGGAGATGAAACTTTGGATATGGAGTTTATAAAACATGTTAAATATAAAACAAAGAATGTGACTGATGTCTAAATGGATGTTCAACAAAAAGTAACTAAGAGGAAAGCCATTTTCATGGAGGATATGTTGAAATGCTAAAATTAAGTGTTAAAAATAAAAAGAAATCAATGAACTGAGCTATCAAAACTCATTCCCTATAAATGCGTTAAATGGAGAATGCAATAATGGTAAAACAAATCAATTGGTTGGCATGAGGCACAATAAAAAAATTTAAAATCAATTTCATATTCAAATATATTTCATTCTTTCACAACTTTAACATGAAAACATGATAAAACGAAAATGGAAGACATGATTATAGATCTATTAATTAATGTATGAACCGTTTCATCATCTGAAACATTTCCTTGATTATTTTCTGGGGGGAAAACTTTCCTTTAGTAGAACAACTCCAGACGGATTATGCTTTCACTTCCCTTTCTGTAAGTCATCCATTCCATCACTCAAATAATCAATTTTAAACAAGGACCTTTATTTCCAAACTTGTGCATTTACTAGATTTGATGTAGGCTAGATGTTTTAAATATTCATAAAAGTTCAGTGCAGAGGGTAACAATATACATAAATGAGTCAAAACCACAGAACATTTTGGTGAAGAAATCTTCCTCCATTACATAATAATTGTGGAATTTTTCTTCCATATACATACATCTTTTTGGGAAAACCCCATGAAAAAGAGGAAATAATTCAATTTCCTATCTCTCTACCATTGATCACTATCCATGGGGATTATGATGCTAAAATCTGTTTTTACAAAATAAATCGTGCTTAGATCAATTCAAGAGACTACTTTGCCATTAAATCTCACTAAGGAGAAGAGAATAAACAAATCAAATTTCACCTTCACTAGTGGGTGTCTAGGCATGTTTTCTGTAATGCTTCCATAAATAATAGGATCTTTGAAATCTGTAACATGCTGAAATTCTTCTTTGCAATCCCTGATTATGATTGGGGCAACATCATTTCCAGCTCTCACAAAATTTCTGCTTTTTTGTTTTTCTGGAAGAGAAGAATATGCCCATATCAAAACACGTATATTACACTTTTTTCGAAACATTTATGCATAAAACAAGAAACTGTTTGATTACTGCATGACTAGTTACAGTGCTCAATCTGGGAAGGGGGGAGGACAAAAATTCATGGGCCACATTGCTCACCTGTGCACACTGGCTAGAAAAAAAGCAGAAATCAGTTTAGTATTGAAAAGGTTATAAATACAATACAAATATATATATATATATATATATATATATATATATATATATATATATATATATATATATATATATATATATATATATATATCACAAATACTCCCCTCTCCCCAGGAAAGGGGGGCCTGATTTATTCAACTTGAATCTACACTGAAGATAACTTATCATGGCTTTAGATTTTTTTTTCTGTATGTTTGATCTTCTATTTTGGCACCACTCTACCCCCAGGGGACATATGAACAAATTTGAAAATGCCTTACCTGCATGAGGATGCTTCAAAATTAATATGACTATTCATGGATTTACTATTCTTGAGATGATTTTAACAATTTATCCTACGTATTCTCATGTTTAACTTTGATCACCAATTATGGCCCCTCGACCCTACCCTCCAGGATCATGATTAGAACAATCCTGAATGTAAACTACCTGAGGATGCTTCCATTTAAATATGTCTAATAATTGCTTAAATTAAAATTTTGCCAGTTCTCTTACAAGTACTCAGCTGCCCTGGCACAACAGTTCCTCCTTCACGGCTAACAAAGGGAATCAGTATACTGACTCTAGCCCTTATAATTGCTAATTTGATAACTATGATGTATCATGATTAGTCAAAAACTCATGGCAAAAGTTAAAAGAACTATATTTAGTAATGACCAGTATATGTCCCGAAAATCAAACTTTGCCAGAGAAATACAGGTAACTCTCGATACCTCGAAGTCCACGGGACCGAGGAAAAACTTCAAGAGATCAAGAGTTCGAGTTTTCAAGCGTCCGGAATTTTCTGGGTTTGTTGACCGGTTTTAAAGTTAGTCTTACCGGATGTAATGATTTTCATGCAGTGCTAACCTTTTACACGTGTTTTTTTTTTTTAAGACAACAATATTTTTTTTTTTCATTATTTAGATGTATATTTCATTAAACTGAGTAAAGCAAAAAATGCATATCGTCATTTCATGTATATTTTTTTATTCTTTGTTATACGGACATCATACTACGCATTCGTTACATGAAAACAACATTTTACAGCGTCGTACATAGCATTGACTATTCCAAACATGCATGATCAGTGAACGCAGTTCTGTAAGTATTTGTCCAATAATGGTCGTCATATTGACATTGAGACTGTTTCTGCTTTTTCATATTTCGTTTAATAAAAATTAAAATTAGTGTTTGGTCTTTTAATCAATTATTACTTTTCACTAACACTGCGTAAATTATCGTAAGACAGTCAATGATAATTATTTTAATAGCATATAGGCAAAATATGATCAATTATAAATCAATTATCACCTTGCAGCATAAGTGTCATCTGAATAAACATCCCGTTCCTCGAAAACCGCGTCTTCTGCCTGGGGTCATTTAAACGTCCAGGTAAACAGGTGCTAATTATATAACCTTGTATACAATAGCCACTTCGAGGTATCGAGGGTAAATTTTAATAGCTTATGCATAGCGGGACTGCATTTTGACTTCGAGGGATCAAGGGTTTCGAGAGATCAAGAGTTCGAGAAATCAAGAGTAAATTTCCTTAGTTATATAGGGGGAAAATTCAGGACCGGAGACTCACTTCGAGCGATCAAGAACTTCGAGAGATCGAAGTTCGAGCCATCAAGAATTACCTGTATATAATTATGTTCTGAAACAGGGGGATCTCTTCAAACATCAAAGCATTAGATATTTTCATCAGCCATGACATCATACAATAGATATGACATCAGGAAAATGACTTAAATTCAAAATTTCCATGATTTGTAGAGAAAAAGGTGTATATAACATCAATATTTTGAGTAAAAGTCACCAAGCCCAGGTCTGCTCCAACTCAGTTTTTGATATATTGTGTAGAATGATAGTATCAATGAAATATGTGAATATTGTAATGGCACGAGCAAGGCTGCGAAATTAAATTGTAAAAATTGAACAAATTTTGTCCATTTTGTCCTCTTTCTGAAAAATGACATAAATCCAAATAGTTTGTGATGTCATAGAAACAAAAATTTCCAATATCATACTTCGAATCTATAATATTTTTTGTTCATTCATAATTTTCAGACAATATACACAATTTAGCACATTTGAAATTTTCAAAATTTGACTTTTGTGAGGTAAAAATATGCATAAACCACATATAGCTCTTTGTTAAACAGATATAAGTTACATCAGAATCTATATATTAACCATTCAAATATTTAGATAATAGCATTTTAGAAATAAGAATTTCCATTGGCATTTATGGTCACCTGGGTATCACTAAGTTTCTCCACATGTATAATCTCATATTTAACATTACCTACATATGGCATGAAAGCTTCTCAAGTTATTTATTGTAGAACACTGAACTACATAATTGTGCAGGATGATTTTTACTGCAAGTTCTATGAAGGAAGAATTTCAAAGATTAAATAAATTTTAAAACTTAGCCTCTTCCTTTGACCTGAACCCTATGCCAAGGGAACATATATTTCACAATTTATTCTTGAAAGGGAGTCAATTGACATCTCATCACGAATCAGATAAACAGTTTCTATTAGATACCCAGAGAATTTAAGGAGGAAGCTTTTTTTAAAAAAAAAAAAAACATAACACATTTTCGGTATTAGCTAATCCTAAGAACATTAAAGCTTGAGCCAGGGGGACCTAGATTTCACAATTTTATACACAGTTTAGAGTTGATTGATGCTGTAGAAAAAAGGATCACATGGAATTTTTGCACTTTTCAGGAAGCAATAAAATCTTATCGAAGAATGCGTTTTATGACTGTGAACATCAAGTTGCTTGATTATTGAAGGACATTAAAAAAAGACATATCTTTAACACAATGAAAAATTAAAAATAAACAATACAAAGTGTACAAGCAGAAATCTTTCAGATATGACTTTTTAGTATACATGTAATATCAAACTTGGTATGAATTGTTCAAACTGCCATGTTGAAATAATTAATATTAGGTCGCAAATGCCACTTATGACAGTTCAAAATCTTTTAAACATTTAGGCCTTATATGGGATTCAAACTCGTGATGTAAGGATCAACTCTTTACTCCGCAACTCTACAGCAAATGCTCTAACCACTGCACCACGCGGGTGACGCATGTTTGGTCAACATAGGACTAATGGTTACTTGGAAATGGAAATGAGACCTGCTCCTAAAACATTAACAACTGGTCATTCTTCAGTCAGAATTCCAGCATCTGAAACCTTGACTGGTACAAATATACTAGAAGCATCTAATCCATGCATTTCTAATTAAGGAGGAATGCCACACCAAAGTTTTATTTCATAGATCTTCAAGAAATCACTGTTAAATTATGGTTTCAGCATTGAAAGGCAAATATTAGCTCTTAATCATTTTACAAGAATTTTTTTTCCAGTTTTTAGAAAATAAAAAAAGAAGTTTTATTTGCAAATAAGATGCTTTATGGTTTAATTTTTTTTTTTTTTCATTTTTTGAGGGATGATGAGGTCAAGGTCATAGTGGAGGTAAAGGATAAACTTTTTTTTACATTTTGAATAATTTGTATCAGTATTTGAGTTTTAGTAAAAATATCTTGAATAGTTTCTTTGAAACTGGGCAAAAAGCAAAATGATGAATAGTAAGGCCAGGGTCAGAAAATTATGATATACTTGAATAGCTCTCACTAATATGTATCAGTGTATGAATTTTGATAAACAGTGTCTTTCAAACTGACAGATGAACAGACAGACAGCTAAACAGATGAAAACAATGTGACAAACCCAATATGCCCTGGTTACTGTAAATTGGCAAATAATCACGATGATTTTAATTTCACTATGTTCATGATTCATCATTTTTCCGCGAAAACAAACCCATAGTGAATGCTATCATTAGTTTTTACAAACGTTTAAATGCTTATACGAAATTTAAATTAATTTCTTGCAGCGTGAAATTAAAACCATTGCGATTGGTACTTTTTGAGAAATCATGAATTTTTAACGCCGTGGAATTAAAACAACTTACAGTATATTCATGAAGGGGCATAAAAATATTGTACTATTGTCTTAACAGGCTTTTCTGTATTGAAATAAGTGGTTTTTGTTCAGAATAGTCTCTCCATTCATATCTTTTGGAGACAAAAGATGAAACACATTCTTTAAAACTCACAATTATAGTTAGAATGTTTTATTTCAAAGACATATTCTTAATTTTTGTGTCTCCTTCCATCTGTGAATGCTCTCTAACAAAAAAATTATCAAATTCAAGGCTTAATTGATCCTTTTTGTAATTAGGGTCCTGTACCCTTTTTAAAATTTTAAAATGTCCACTAAAATGACACCTGTTTTTATATTTCCCATCATGTTTTAACAAATTTCCATCACTTGAACAATGCCATAGATATCATAAGAAGATCTGTCTGTACAAGTCTTTTCACCATAACATCCTTTATTTTCTTGAGCATGACAAAAGGAACTGGCTGAGACTGAAGGCCTGCAGGGGAGGAATTATTTGCTTGTGGGATTAGTTGAATGTGAGAGATAAATAAATCAATGTGATCTGAGGACCATGAATGCTACCAGGCCATTTAGGCTCTCTACCCTCATCATTATAAGGATAATTCTCTTCAGATTTGTCCACTTAAATGATGATAGATATCATTTTCTTTCTAATGTAGCATGTCCTTTTCCTACCAGTCAGTGAAATGCGACTTACCACTGGTATGTGATATACCGTATTAATGCCCTGGGCATGTGCAAAATTGCGAAAAGGTGGTTATTTGGGATATATAGTCATGTTGATATCTTTTCTGTAAAATTTCTCAAAATATTC